TAGTCATGCTTGTTAGACATGCAATACTGTTACAGGAATGGGTTCCGGGGAACCCAACCTGAGCCGTTCGGCTCACTAATGGAGGTGGCTGCGTAGCCATCGGAGGGAGAGCGGAATGGGATGAGTGTCTGGCAGTGTAACCTGTGGGTTGGCCAATGGTAACTTGGCGCTCCTGGGAGCGTACCGGTAGCGAGTATGACATGGGCTCCTTGAGGGAGCCTCCTGGCTGTCTGCTAATGGGGACTTGGCGCTCCTGGGAGCGTGCCGGTAGCGGGTGTGCTGGGAGCAGTTGGCTAGCGGTGACTTGGCGCTCAATGGAGCGTACCGGTAGCGTGGGATACTGGGACTCCCAAAGGGAGTCACCCAGTTGGTGGCTATTGGTGACTTGGCGCTCATGGGAGCGTACCGGTAGCGGGAGTTGTTGGGGAAAGCAGGCTGGTGGACCAGTGCACGGTAGTGAGTGACCATGGGAAGTGGGACCCGCAGGTGCGTGGCCAGACATTCTGGAGCTGCCTGGACTATATCCCTCTCCTAAGGAGGTGGGATAGGCTACAGTTCCTGATAGGGAACTTCTGGTTGGATGGGAGTGACCGCTCAACCACCCGGTGGACTGGTGGGAGCGGGCAGCAGGAGGTTGGGCGTGGGAATGCCCTCCTCGCTGCAGTTTTGTCATGGAGAGGATGAATAGGGAGGTGGACATGGTTCCAAGGTTACAGGTTGAGTTTACAGTGGTGGCACAATGGTGAGGATGTTACAATTGCGGTACAAGGTTTGTGGGTTATGTATTCGATAATGAGAAAACATCTCGGCATTTGCCATACATGTCATATGACTTGTATCTATCTAATACAAAGGTTGTAATGGCCAAGGGAAGTCCCTTGGAAATCAACAAATCCCCCAGCCAGCACCAAAACCCAGTGGGAAAGCTTGGCATGGGGTTTGACAATGAAATAAAGGTGAAAGGTTTGAATGTTCAGTCATGGACCATAAGATTCTAGGTCCATTCCTATAACAAATACGGTTCCTTGCACATTTTAATATGCTTAGTCTCTGGAGTTTCCGTTGAGAAGTGCCTTTGCAACGTGTATCATCCATAAAATGTGGAAGGGTGTGTAATTTAGGGATATTCATATGCCCCTGTTCCCGAGAACCATTTTGAATGAAGGCACTCTTGTACCGATGGAAACGCTCTAGGCTCTTCTTCATGAATAGCAGGTCAGTCTCAGATATGACAGGAGACCGCACAACAAAGATGTAATCCAGCAATGAACAGACCGCTTTCAAAATTGCTGGTGTGACTCCATCATGCCCTGCAATCACAACAACAGCAATGCTTTGAAAAGCCTTAAACTCTCGTCCCAACGCCTGAGTTATACATGAGAGTCCATTGGGAAAATGTGGTGCACGATTCTCTGGAGGTTGGGCAATTAGACGTCGGTCCAACTCCACAACACCTAATGTTGACGTAAGCCATGAGACAACGTGATCCCAAAAGAATTTGTAGCAGCCATGCAACAAGTCTTGACTGATGAAGTGCGAAGGACACTGTTCAAAATCCTTCCAAAAAGGTGGAGCCACTCAACCCAAGCTTAAGCTTCTTTGCATCTCGGGAGAACTCAAAGGTGGAAGCATGAGGATATTTTCCCTGCAATTGTCTTAGTGAGTCAAGAATCCAGTCGTGCGTGCGTGCCGGGTGCTCAGTGTACACCTCTTGGGACTGATGCGGGACTAAGCACACCAAACAGTGCCCCACCTGTGTTATAGCGATCATTTGTTGCTCTTCGAGATCAGCCAAGTGTGACATCAGAATTGCCACGCACGCGTGCACCAGGCCATCAGGACCAGTCATCAATCTGGGTACTTGCTGAACGGTGAGAAGGGGAGCCAGTGTAATTTCCATGCAGCGATGAAACATCTTTTGTTGTACTATTCCAGGCATGCATGCAGCTTCTTTGAGAGTTCCACCTGACATGTCGAACGTTGTCTGGGCAAATTTGCATACTGGTAGCTTTGCAAGCAACATCCAGGCATGGCGATTAATCTTTCGGCAGACATCCTTATGGATATTCCCTAGAGATATATAGAGTGGATGCATGCGTTGATCACCAATGAAATTTGTCAGATGCATTTTGTCTGAAGCAAGCATCACACTGAGAATAGTGGTGCCATCAGGGAGACGAGCCTTATTGTCATAAATTAGTACTAACTTTTACATGTTCAGATGTGTGCCCACCTGCTGTTCATGCCAGTCATCCCCTGTAGCCATCTCATGATAGACCCTTACTGTCAGAGACCAGGTTGAGACGAGGGAGTGTCTCCATGACAGAGGGCTTTGGCCTCAGCAACTTGTGCCAGGAGCGCTGTGCCAAGTAACACGTCCATGCCCTAACTTACTAAACTGGCAACCAGAACTGAAAGGGGTAAACTCTAGTCGATTTTATTACTGAGGTGTAACCTATGTACAAGTTGAGTATATATATAGTTACAACAAGGGCAGGTCCGCAAATGGCGGAGCTGAGCTAACGGGGTTAGACATTAGCCGATTGAATATTACCGACGAGTCGGGTTACAGGGTTAACAGAATGGTAGGTGATAACCCAGAAATGGAAAGGAGGGATAGGCCCGAAGGTGGGCTTTGCAGGGCAAGCGAGTGTATTGCCCAGCAGAGGCAGGAGTGCACTAGTGGACATCGGAGCTGTCTGGAAGCCTTCGGGGCTCCGTCCTTAGGGAGGTGTAGGTAATAAATTGAAAAGAGGGGGTGGTGACCATCGAGGGGTACCGAGGTGATTGCGGAATATGGGAGCTCCGAGGTTAGTGAAGAAGGAGCAGAGGTAGACCGGAGGGATCGGAGGGATCGGAGGGAGTGGAAGTCAATGGCTGGGGATGGATATGACACTTACGTCACCCTCAGCTGTGAAGACCTTGTACAGGGCGAAGTCCATTTCACCATCAAAACTCGGGTTCTGGAACAGAAATTCCAAGCATTCAATCGGGTTTCAATGCCACCACTCCTGTGGTTCTAGGGGTGCGTCATCCATAACGATTGTCTCCTTGTGCCATCCTGGCGCTCCTGGCATAGACTTTACTTTCCCATACATCATATCAGCTGACCCAAAGCTGAAAGGCCAATCTTGGACCTATTACAAATAGTCACTGTAAGCAATTTCTTTAATCATGAAGCCCAATGTACATATTTAAGGTTCAAGAACTCGTTGATCACTCCCTTTGAGATTCCCGTCGTGCTCAACCACCTCACTACCTCCCACTCACCTTCACTATCCCATGGCCACCACTCATTTCCTACACTCTCCATTTTTTGTAGTCAATCCCATAGTGTGATAGAAGAGAAAGGGAAGGTCCAGCCAGCGTGCACATCTACTTCCATGCGGTGCCCCTTGCAAATGTCATCTTGGCCATTATAATTGTCATCTCCACTGTCGTATGTGTTGCCTTGGTTGTTGCAAGCATCATCACTGCCATGTGCACCACCAGCATCGTTCCCACTGTCATGAGCGTCGAATTCACTGCCATGAGGGCCATAATCATCAGTCTCATCTTGGCCATTGGGGCAGAGGAGTCAGCCGCCACTACTGCCCCATTCATCTCCTGACAGCGGACGGTGGTGCTTATCTGCAACATTAGTGAGTGATCAGTTTAACCACCAAATAGCTACTTACAGCCTGTCATATCATGTCGGTGCAAATTTGATTTAATGCGAGAAACTAAGCTTCGTTTTTCTTTTTCCCTGCATTCTTTGTTGCACCAGATATGATTGCTCAGGCCGCCACCTCATTGGGAGAAGAACCGCTTGCAGAATGGGCAGAAGACATGCTCGCCCAGTGCTAGGCTCAGGGTGTTCGACATTGTTCCCGAAGGTCAGACTTTGAATCTTAAAATGGGTTTCAAATTTCAACTCATTTCAATTCTTTCTTTTCATTCATCCCCCATCGTATGAGTCCCCACAAATGCCTCCTAAAGGTATCAACACCTGTGCACGAACTGGCAATGCTAAACCTAAGGCAGTTGACCTGACAAACTCAGCCGAGTGTCATATCCATACAATCCCGACCTCCGCTCCAGGCTCCCGGAACTCCGAACTCCGACTTCCGGAGCCCTACTCCCCCTCCATCACCTTCTCCTTGCCGACTCCCAAGAGGTTATCCCACCTCCGGCTCGGACACCACCTTCGGTCCGACTCCGGAACATTCCGGGTCCGACCCCAACCTCGACACCTTCTAGACGAGTACGCAAAGCCTATGCTCCCGACTCCGGACCTCCGCTCCGGAATCCTGTTCACGTCTCTGTCTCCGGAACCTCCGGTCTTAGCTCCGACCTCGGACTTTGACCCCACCTCCGCTTATACCCATTGTATTGGTTAGCTCATTCCATTTAATTATGTTTGCCAATATTCCGGAGTTTAACTTCCGAGTTCGGACTTTCCAGACTTATGTCGGACCTTACAACTATTGCATTGTCCTATTCAATTCCGCTATTCTCCCTCATTCCTATTTGGGCTGCTGCTTCCTTTCTATTCAGTCAGCTAGCCATTCCCCACTCCCAACCTCCTTCCTTCCTCCTTGGGCCTTGGCCCTTCATTCCTCCTTTGAGAAACACCATTGAGTCAAACCCTTGACCCTCGGTGTTGTTCCTCTTTCCATCTCCCTTTGTCTCCTTTCGTCCTACCCTCGCTCCTTTTGATTCCGGACCCCTCCTTATATACAATGTACATAGTAACTTGTAACCTCAGTCCAAAATCGACTTGAATTCCCCCCAAGAGACTTTCCCTCTGCTAGATCCGAAATTAGGGACCCCCAGGACAACCAGCAATGGCACAGCGCTCTGCCTGAGTCGCTGAGGCCGAGGTCCTTCCACACTAAGTCTCCGATTCCGCTCCAGAGTCGTCTGAATCCGCAAGTTCTAACACCGAGCCGGCCATTCCTCATCAACCCACTCTGAACCAGTGACAAAAGAATCAAGAGCGCGGACGAAAAGTGGCCAAGATGAGGAAGGCTAATCTTGCAACCAAAAAGGCTCAAGCTGCAAACACTAGCGTGTTGGATGGAATTGGGGTGGGGGGTTCCCAGCCTAGGGTTGCCGAGGGTTTGGCTTCTGAGGCCCTGTCCTGCGAAACCACTCCTGCCATGTCGGATAGCAACTCTCAAACTATGCACCAACCATCTGTGCCTCCGTCGGATCCAGAAACCTACTGGAAACAGAAAGCAGCCTCCATCAATTCAGGCAGGGTCAGGACGCTCATGGGACCGCCCATAAATTCCCCAACCACCCATTCTTATTCAGTGGCTGGGATGAAGCACAAATTTCCTGATGATGTAGCAGGATCAGTACAGTGTAAGTTGGGATCAAATTGTCATTTCTAATTGTAGTGGCCCTCACACTGCTATATAGCAAACCCTGAGATGATTCCTGGTCATCCCAATAAGGTTTTGATGTCAACATCGGTGCAACTTCAAAATGTATGTATGACAGCTGGTTCATCACTGTAAGGCCAGTTGGGGTGCTGGCCTGGGTTGACTCAATCCTCAGAATGTCGAGATCTAGGCTGTATGGAGCTTATGATTTGACATTGGGGTGAGGGTAAAGAGTGAAGAACCCTTTACCTGAGCCCGAGCCATACATATGTAAATACAGTTGTTTACTTTGTACACAAAGAATAAAGAACAAATAAAGAAAGCGCGCAAAGCGCGCATCACCGCTCTACCACCCATCCCTTACAATCACAAAGAAAAACGATGTTTTCTGCTTTCCCTTATAGGTACAAACTCGGGAATTCCCCATTCACCTTCCACCTTCATTTGACATGAATGGTAATCTGACGACGATGGCTCTTCATAATAATGCAATTGTAGGCAGGCATTCTATGTCTAGGCAGGGTTGCTAACTTTCTTGCATTGCTAGGCTGATCAGCTGTTGAACTCTCATTATCAGGCTGTCACTATGACACCTTTGAAAAGTCCGAGAATGGAGATGGGACTAGTTTCTATGGTAAGGGCTCACTAGTTTGAGTGCACCACACCCAGAAATGATTAAACATTGATCTAGCCTATGCCCACTGAACATCTTGAAGATGATGAAGAGGACATAAAACCAAAGATAGGAGCCCTTACAAAGAAGGAAGTCAAGGAATCCCTTGGTGGCATCGTGTATGATGAGATCACCACGATTTTGCTGACAACTCTATTTTCCGAATGTATGTTCCCAAGCCAAGGTTACTACTTAAGAATGGCTGCAAGGGAGATGACTGTCAGGGCACGCCGCTGCCACCGCTGCCACCTCCTTTCCTTTTCCCTCATCCTCTCATTCTCTCTTCTTTCCTTCTTCTCTTTTTCTTTTTCTATCTTTATACGGACGACCCCTTTTTCTTTCCTACACTTGTAGCACGGACACATCTGACGCTGAGCACCCTGTAGGGGCACCGCAACGCCGGACACGCTGTGCACTCCTACTTGTATCTCCCCTCCAACACTCGGGATCGACCGCGGAGCCACCCACAGTAACCCGGCTTCGTCCGAGGGTGACGTGGCACCCCCACGTGACCCGTTCACACATGTATATAAACTAAGCCGAAGCAGGACCGAAGAAGTAACCTTCTTCTCATTTCCCGCTTCAGGCAAGTACCCTAGTTTAGTCTAGCTTCCCACCCTAATAACAATACATTTCCCGCTTCAGCCTAAGAAGCCACACAGGGATGTAAGCCCAAGTAAGGGCTGCCCACTATACGGTCCCACCGCCCCGCCGCCGCCTGGGCCGCTAGCGCCGAGCGCTACGCTGCTACCCCTGCCTTCCTCGAGCCATCCTGACAATGACAAACATGATCGAAAGGCATAGTGACAGCAATTTGTTGGATGGGTTCACTGGCTACACCACTGAGGGGCTTCAACAGGTATGCATGTTGTTGCTCACTTTGTCAGAGACGGGATTATTGGAGTCAGAAGTACTGGATTGTGGCAGAGGTCTGTTGGAGTGCGCACACGCGGATATGCGGGCGGAAATATGCGGTGCATCCGGAAGCGCTAGAGTGGGATCGCGGCCTCAGCGACTCAGGTGGAGCGCTGTGCCCTGAGCTTGACATTTGGGGGAGATCCCATATTTACGGATTGACACTCACAGCGGACTTCAACAAGACTTGCGGGCGGAGCGGACCTGTAGGAGGAGCGCAGACTCCGCAAGCACAGACTCAGGGGGGGGAAGCCCCCTTTGCAGAAGGAGAGACTCAGACCAGACAGGGGGGGGGGGTACTCTAGTTGATTTCAGACTAAGGTCCCCGAAAGTATTTACAGGATATAAATAGGCAGGAGGGAAACACAGAAGGACCGGTCGGTCCGGCGCAGTCCGGCACGGAAATAAGCGGGGATTGTCAAACTGAATGAAGGACAAGAGCCCGGGAAATGGGAGGCAATGAACTAAACAAAAGCGGATCAAGTGCCAATATTGACAGGTAATAAGAAGTGCATCAGCACATGGATCAAGTGCCAATATTGGCAAGTTAAGCGAATGAATGGATGAACAATATAGGCACTCGGCAAGGAATGAATGGTATGCTGCCGAGTGACAAGATGGCCAGAGAAAAGTGGAGGTCAGCGCGCAGCGCCGATACAAGTCCGCAAATAAGCGGGGTCGGTGCGGTGCTGACACAAGTCCGTGAAGGGACATGGAAATCAGCACGGTGCTGACAAGTCCACAACAGAGGGTGGTCCATCAGTGCCATCACAAACAAGGGCAGCATGATGGCCAGCAAGGTCGGAGGGGAGTGTTGGCCTGACCACAGGGTGTGGAGGGCAACCAGGAGTGGCAGAGGTCCAGAGGGTGTGGAGGTGGGCAGAGGTACAGATGCAGGTGGAGGTCCGGATGCGGGCAGAAGTCCGGATGCGGGTGGAGGTCTGGATGCAGTGCATGGTTGATAGGGCAGGGGGCCAGACATCGGATTGGGGGCTGGTTAGATTGGGTTTCGGGTCGGCGGATTCGCCTATCGGCATTGATTCGCCGCTGACAGAGCCCCAGGATTTGTCGGTCGTGACACACTTGCTCAGTGCTTGTCATTTGCGAATTCACACTTGTGTAGTTCTGGAAAGATGTTTCATCATTCTGCACGCGGATCAAGGCAAACAGTGCTATGCACGTTGCATTTCTTTACCAAGTCCCAACCAATGGGGACAAAAAGATGGCAAAGGCTATGGCTGCCCTTGCCTTGGAAAATGAGACCAATCTTTTCTTCTGTGAGTTTTACCCTGCAGGTGGACAGGTTTGCTCTATCCATGTCTGTGCCCACTCATTTATAACTCAATATGCATCCAGGCACATCGTGGTGCATTCAGTCACCCTGCACTGAAAGTCATTCTTTTGGAAACATTCAAGCTGCTACCTGCTCCAATTGTATTCTCAGATCAGATTGTTCCCAAACTCGTATCCTCCTTCCCAACGATGCTTTTAGCCTTTGCCGGCACAATTGTGAGTCATCTTCCCATTGGATTTGCCTCTGACTTTACTGACATTGTATATCCTTATTCTAGATCCATAATGTACTTGATTGTTATGTTGAGAATGGGACATACAATCGCAAGCTGAACTTGGACAACAAATACAAATGTTGGTTCAAGATCTATACCACTTGGATTAATGACTGGGTTTCACAATGAAGAAATTTCACATTGCCCCGTGGGACTTACTCCGTGAGATCCAACTGAATGATACAGTTAAGGTCACAAGACAAGGACATAAAATCATGGACAAGCCTGGCATCGAAACCAGGACCTCTCAGTGTGCTACCATTACACAACTCGCCCGTTTGACCATGCCAGTATAGGCTGTTAAACTCTATACCGATGGGAACAGATATCCATTCTCCAACACACAATTCGGTGGGGCTGCCTGGGAGAAAGTGGCAAACAACTTTACATCAGATGTCCTGTGAGTACTTCTAATCTTCCTACATACACCCCCTCATTTGAATTCTTATGTCACCCTGTCAGCGACGAGTATGATCAAAACAGTTTGCTCAACGCCCCATTGCTGATTCTCGATACTGATGGCGACATTGATGACTTGTGAGGGTGGGATTGTGTCAGGGACTCGTCCGGGGTCGAGGGGGTCCGGGTACAGCGTCCGGGACCGAGAGCCTGGCGGGGGCGGATCGGGCGTGCGTACTGACAGGCCCGATGTGGGACAGTAGTCCCTGGCCACTTAGACTGAAGTGGAAAGTTGTTATTATTATTAAAGGAGAAATATTGTACTACTTACCTGAAGTGGAAAGTTGAGAAGAAGGCTACTTCTTCGGTTCCCACTTCAGGTTCGTTTATATACATGCGGCTTGGATCACATGACGGATGCCACGTCACCCTCGCACACAGCCGTAACCACCCGGGTGTCTCCGTGGGAGATCCCGAGGGTATCCGGTGCAGGCGCGCGTGCTGGGCACAGCGGGAAGTCGCCTGAGGTGCCCGGGCCGGGTACATGGTGGGCGCGCTGCAGATGGGTCAGTTGTACATTGATACAGAGAAAGTCGTCCATGTAGAATAAAGAGAGAATAAAGGGGAAGTAAGATAAGGAGAAACTGAGGAGGGGAGGATGAGGGGGAAGAAGGGAAAGGGGGAGGGGTAAGGAAGGGTGGACTGGCGGGGTACCGGGTCAGGTTGGGCCGGGTGGAGCCGGGTCAGGCAGGTGTGCCCTGACAGATTGAGATGTGGGGATTTTGGCAACTTTTTAGGCCTGTGCCATCATGCAAACCCTCCCTTTCCTCTTCCTTTCCTCAGAGTTCATTTCCACCTGTTCATAAAAAAATGTCTGCAACAATACCATATTTTGATTGCATGAATTAGGACAAGCGTGAAAAGCCTATGAAGTATAGAAGCCACAGAAGTGCCAGGAGTGTGTGAATCAATGAATATGAGTTTAAAAGTACCAGGGGCGCGTGAATCAATAGAAGCTCCAGGAGTGCAGGAATCACAAGTATGGGTTGAGCGGAACCAGGAGAACTGGGAAAACTGCCCAGGGCTCCAAAGTGATACAGTCAGAAGCTTGATTACGAAGTGGGCGGACTGAGAGACCTTTATTAAAACGAATCAGTTGGTTTGCCTGCTTCAGACAACTCAGATGACTAGAACCCATGGGACTGCCCGATTCCGATCAAGGGAATTTGCTGATGTAAGGTACTGTACTAACATGACCAACAACCGGTCACGCATCACATGAAGGTCTTGGATTGAATTAAAAATCAACACAACTGAATTGATTGGGTGCCTCCGGCAATTCCCGGAGGCCGTGGGAACCGGTTGTTGGTCGTGTGAGTACAGTACTATAAGTATCATACAGGATATATATAGGAAGAGGAAATGAATAGAAGCGGACCTGGGCTGAAGGCCAAAGGGTCCAGGAGCAAATGGGGACAAAGAGCGGGGTTGGCCACATAGCGGCCGGCAATGACCAAGGGCCAAACAAACAATAACAGATAAATAAGCGAAGGAGTGTAGGGCCGCAATAGCGGTGATGGCAATGGTAGTGGCACCGGACTCGGAGTTGGCCCCTGTCAGGGCATGCCTTCGGGTCACTAGTGTAAGTAGCGCATTGCCACATGACCCGTATCTCCATCAGCTTCTGCTTCTTTTCTTCTTCTTCATCTCCGATCTGATCCAATCTGCGGCTGTCGGTTATGACGCTGCATGATCTTCTATCATTCTTGATCCGATACTACCGGTTATTAGCTAGTTGACTAGTTACTGCCTCTACCATGTATATATGACCGTGTGCTGGGATGGGCATGTCCCCCAGCTTTGATATCAATTAGGTTTCTGGGGCATCCTTCGTTGTGAGCACGCATGACCCTGACAGCCCCTAAGTGTATATATGTAACATTGGGTTTGGTGTTGTTGGTGGCGATGGGTGTCTGGTGTCATGTAGAGTATAGCACTGTGGGGGAAGGGGAAAATAAGTGAGCCCATACAGCCTCTCGAATAAAGATTGGAGAAAGTATTGTGAGCTTGTGCTCAGCTTATGGGATGCACACACATCTGAGCCGCTGAAAGAAACAACAGTGATTCATGGATTTACATCGGTGGTATCACTCCCTCTCAAATTTACTTCCTGATATGACCCCATCGCAATGTGGGTATGCGTGATCACAAGATGTAGGACAACTACCTAAGGGACACAGGATAGAGGCGGAATGAAGGATGGGAGTATAACGATGAAACATGAAGTACAGTACGAATGGCTAGCCAACTTGATGGGTAGGTGATATGCATTAAGAGGATGCCACCAGAATTGCATCTGGGAAACGTCATTGAATGGGAAATTCTGGTGCTTCCGACCAAAGTTGTCAGGCCATCTGTCAGGGCACACCCGCCTGACCCGAGCCCACCCGGGTCCACCCGGCCACACCTCACCCGCTACCCCGCTCCCCATCCTTTCCCTCCCTCCTTCCCTCCTCCCTCTTTCCTTTCTTCTCTCTCTTTTCCCTTTCCTTTATTTCATTCTTCCCATCATTTCCCTCCTGTTTATTCCTTCTATTTACATGGACCACTTTCCTTTGCATCAATGTACCATTGACCCACCCGACCCAGGCTCCCCAGATGGCTCCCCGCTGTGCCTAGCACGCACGCCTGCACCGGATACCCTCGGGATCCCCCGCGGGGACACCCGGATGGCTGTGGCTGGCTCCGAGGATGATGTGGCATCCGTCATGTGACTCAAGCCGCATGTACATAAATGTACCTGAAGTGGGAACCGAAGAAGTAACCTTCTTCTCACCTTTTCCACTTCAGGTAAGTTAGTGTAGTTTCCCTTTTCAATAACAATTCACCTTTTCCACTTCAGTCTGAGTGGCCAGGGACAGCTGTCCCCCATTGGGCCTGCCAGCACGCACGCCCGATCCAACCCCCGCAAGGTCTTCAGCGCCGGGCGCTATACCCGGGCCCCCTCGACCCTGGACATGTCCCTGACACCATCTAGGTATGTGGTCAGTGGTGAATCGCAAATGGGAACGCATTTCAACTGTACTTCTATCTGCACATCAGTGATATTTCCCCCAAATGACGAGCGAAGGACATGGTGAGAGCCACCTCACCAAATTGGATACATTGGATATGTGTGCAACCTACCAATCAATTCCAATAAATGTGCTTCCATGTTATACCCCAGTCATGGCCAGCGTCCCGAGAGCTAGAAGCTCATCCGGAAAGATCCCTCATTCCAAGTGGAAAAGATGGGAAGGTGGTGCCACTCCCCATGGCAAAAACAGGCGTAACTGGATTTTCAGATGCATTGCGTGCAAGGATGGTTCTTCAAACAGTTTCGGACACCATTCAGTCTGAATTTAGATTGATGCTCAGATCAATAGCGAACGATAGGTTCATACTCAGCCCAAATGAAGAAGGCAAACTCACCACACGCCGACGACTTGCTGCCCAGTGCACAACTTCAGTACAATGAGCAATTCAATCAAAGGACCGTAAGTCCCAGAATCTCCAGTGATGGCGCACGGCAAACAGCTTGGCGCCAAGACCTTCCACTAGATATTGTCTGTTGAGTACTTACTGAACGTCCTGAGCATACCTGTGCATAGATTCCTGGACCCGACAGGCTGAACGGCTGCGGCATGTTACTGGCCACCGGAATGGAAAGGGGAGCGTAATATCGATGGTAACGTCCTGGTTAGAGCAGCGGCGAAAGAACAACAAAAGCTAGAGCCATCGAGAAATTCTCGCCATCTTGAGTTTCAGTCCGTTCGAGAGTGCAGAGTGTGATTCCCATGTCTATCCCACCCTATCGATCAAGGTCAATCCAGGGTGATATAGGAGAATGGCCATCCTCATGTTATCAGTGCTCAATCATGCAAGCTTTGAGAGAGAAGAGTTGCCGGTAGGATGCAACCACTCTTGAAAATATGGAGCATTTGAAATTCAAGCTGAAAAGAACGCGAGATGAATTAGTCGATCCAACATGCCGGTGTGTAGGTGGAGTGAAATCATAAATGGTCCGAGACCACAGATTGGAGAAGAGCTTATATAATCAATTGGTAATTGCATTTACGCCACCAACTAAACGGGGTTTTCCAACTCTGCCGATTATCCAAAGTACCTCCTGTTTCTCTTCTTGTTCACACTGGAATGCTTGGATCTCGTGATCCCCCAACATTCCATCTTCATTGCCCAACCCAGCCTGTCACAGTTTGAAGCAGACAATTCTGAATCCGTCACTCAGACAAGCTGACTCCAAGAGCCGAGGACACGGACTCCCTGCCACCCCTGCCAACCCATCCCGGAAGCTAATGTGGTCGTCCTCATCTTTTAATTTGCTTCTGATACCCACAACATCTCGCTCACACCTTCCCTCTTGTTTTCTGGCCAGGTGGAGAACGGGCAACTGCCTGAAGCTTTACAGTGTGTGCAACTATTCTTTATTCGCTCCTCACTCATGGATCAACTTCGCATCATGTACAATCAAACCCATGGATAGAGCAACCGTTGCCACACATCCGATTCTATATGTCACTGCCGATTCTATCATCCATCATCTTGCCTGGGGGATTTAGTTTATACTATTCTCTGGCCATAATGTTTTCCTATTCTTGGGGTATCTGCATGCGTCGTTGGTGTCGGATTACGAAGTGAATCTATGACCCAAAGCAGACGACGGACTTATG